TTACACGGCTTAACCAAATATTATTACACTGACAGAATGCTTAAAACAGTAGACAATGACTGGATTTCGATTGCATACATCCGAGGCATTAAAGATACCACGTAACTATTTGAATATAAACACAGTGGAATATCGAACGACAATCATACAACAGAATTTTACCATTATTGGTGGGATTACGTCCGATTTTAATGGCGATCGGTGATGAACAAATTTTAGCGTGCGTAGTTGGTCATATATCATAAGGTTTATATAAAGTATAATATCCATGTAAAACACGCACTATATGGAAAAGAATTTCCATTTGTCACGGATTATTTTGTGGTGATGTTAGATTTTTTAGTTTATCTGATGAGTTTTTTTTATATTTGGTAAAGTACAAATTATAAATTTCATAGGATATGTATGCTTAATTTAATTATATACACCCCTTCTTGTGTTAATGAAACAATAGATTTGCAACGTGCACCTTTTCCAGATAACATTCATATAGTATTGTAATTTTCTCAACCTGTATATATAACAAATTCCTCTCAGATGAGATCTTCCGAGCTTTGTATTTGAAGTTCTGATGTGGTTAAGCGTCCTCTGCGATAACCACACTTACCTCCACAACAGACGCCCTTTCATTATCCATCATCGTCCTGATTACAAAAAAAAAATTAACACCTAAAGATAAAAACATTAGAGTGTATATATTTCTGGCATTCTTCACACATATATGGCCTGTGCTAGGATTATAATTGAATATAACTCTCCTTTTATGTGACTTGGCGACGTCTTAAAACAACCGGTCGCTCTGTATCTCAAACCAAATTTCTGTGACATTGATTTATATTTATAATAATTATATCGATAATTATTACAATTATTACGTTCATGTACAACACAGTTATAACTTAATGCAATGAAAGTGTCTTGTATTCGCCCCTCTTCACTTTGTTTAAGATGCTCCCAACTCAATTAGTAAAATTCCTTAATTAAGTCTGTTACAAATGCCTTTCCAATATACTAAATGTCCCAAAAAGAAATATGTGTACATAGTTCTGGCATATGCAATGGCTGTGTATACATTCCTCTGGAAAACATCTAAGTCCCATATCTTCCTCTGCTTCTTTTAAGAATAATCTAGTGATTAGACATTGTATGGACAGATATTTTAAAAATAAGTTATGTAACATCAGTAGAGGTTCGAAGCCGGCACGATTTGAATAGCCTGTCAGGTCAGACTCCTTAGTTGCCCTGGGCATAAGTAATAGCTGGTGTACTGTGCAAAAATCCAGCATAATCGGTATAGTACCGATGTGTAACCCTGAAAGTAACTCGTTTTGTAGAATTCATTTATTTATCTTAGTTGAGGTTTGAGTACATAACTACGCATTGCATACACCAAGGTTCTGAGTTATGTTACACAGTACATATAATTACACAGAACATTTTACACAAAAAGTGAGACTCGTTGCTTTGAGAAATGTTATCATCGTATGGATTTCCGTTTTATTCACTGTATTGTAAATTATTTTCCAGTAATCTTTGCCTCAAACAATGCCGTTGTCGGAAATCCTCTAGATATTTCTGTTGTTTTTTTAATCGCAAAAATCAATATTTTATTCCGTACAAATATAAGACCGAAGTCCGTCGGAATTTATTGCGTTTTAGTTTGCTTTAACTTTGTGCCATTAATTGTAATCCCGTCTGAAAATACGAGAGTACACCCCTCGAAGCGATAGCCGTGCGCAGTTCAGTATTATACGCGCTGTGAGCAGCATTTCGCTGTCCCTGCAATATTCATGAAATCCGAGTAAAAGTCTGTGCGATTTAGTACACGTCAATGCTTGCGGTGGTTGCCCAATCTGCGCCTGTTCAAATAATGCACGATATATCACCCACCCCCTTCTCTCTTCTCTCTCAGTATTTCCATCCCATTTCGTCCTCATCCTCCAGGGCTCAATGCAGTTTTAGTCTGATTATATTGATCTCTAATGTTAGTATTTGTTTTGAAATATGGAATTCAGTACTTCTCACTTCAAACATCCGGATGTGTATCCCACTGGCAGCTTCTCCTTAGCACCCACAAGAGCATTTCGACAGACAGAGTGATTGTTGAACGTGTGTCAACAGTCAGGTATGTTGATTACAGTGTTAAGTCGAACACTCATGCCATCTGCAGCCCTGTAGCAAAACCAATAGCATTTTATGATCTGGAACTATACTTCATGCTTATTATGGGCGTGTGTCCAGTGAAATATTTCTCAAAAATTTATTGTTGTTTAAATCATATTGAGGACGTGTTCACTGAAGTGGTATGGTTTTTCGAAGTCTAATGGAAATGATTTCAGAGCCGGCAGGCAGAAGTCAGTTACGAATTGATAGGACTTTCTTGTGATAGAATGATTTGTCTGAGTTGCTATTATTTATACGTACGTACAAAAGATTCACGACATGTGTAGAATTGTTTGTAGTCAGTAAATAGTGCGGTTAAGAACAGGACACATTTTGTACAATGCTTCGGAGTTGATTTTGACCATGCAGTCTGATTTATTCGTCAATCAATTGATTAGTTCTGCTTCTCTGCTCTGTAAACTGTCTGAAGCGCTTGTTAGAACAGTAATCCACTACCTCAGCCCTATCGACAGCGGCGGTCTGCCATTTCATAATTCTAGAACCGCTGGACTGATTTGCTAATATTTTATTATGGGGATCCCAGCATGTCCACTCCCCATGTTTTACGCTAATCATAAAAGAACATCAAACCTGAATTGTAGTGAGGTTCTCACAGAATTTAAAATGTTGGTCCTGATGGTTTTTTTTTTTGTTGTGTGAGACCACGTGTGGCCTTCTAGCTGTTACCAGGGTTTCGCCGAACCACATCTCCTCCATCTTCAGGCCTTCACCCTCAATTGAGTTCTACCATTCGTTTCATTTCTAGTATTATCAGGATTTGCATGCATTATCTCCATCTAAAGTGACTTCCAGAGTTGTTATCTGGATTAAAGAAATTATTTGTACCCCCACTAGGAGACTATCAATGCATCACTATTTTTGAGACAGTCAAGAACTTATAATATAATTTTTCTTACATGGTTTCTGCAACAAATTATTAGGTTGAAGGTATATGGAAAGTATACGTGCCACGTGCTTTTACAATCAGTAACTGTAGGCATATTTGTTATTTGTAAGTCTTATACGATCCTCACTGTAAACAGGGATTATTTCCTTAAACAGCGTAAACATGTTAATCTTTGAAATTATGAAGTGTTGTGTTTTCTTTTTGGTATGGACTGAATTAAGTACTATTTAGACGATCTTCGACGTCACTGTTATTAACTGAGATCGAAATGTTAATTATTGGAGGACGGTAGTTGAATTGCACACCTTAAGAAACTTAAATTGGAGCTGTATTTTATTGTCAGTTGTTTTATGAAGCATGTACTGTTGCATCGCTGTCCAAAATGTTGACATTGGTCACTGGAGTACCAGTGCGTGGATGATGTACCTACCTTGCTGTAGAGTGCTTACTGTCTGTACTTTAGTACTTAACAGCGAGCAATTTACGTGAAGCAAATTACACCTGATTTGTGCCACGGCCCTGCGTAGCTTTAACTCGCTGTGTTACTTTTAAGCAGGCGATTAAATATGACTGCACATTACATGTGTATGTATGTATGTTTTGAAACGGGCGCCTGTTTGCGTTCCTTTGTGTCGGCTTTGAAAGTGTAATTTTTAATTAAACTGCATTAAATCTATAATCAATAACACATAATTGAAATAACAAATCAGATTTTCCGTTGTATTTTCAACGGAAATTACAGTAGTGTTAAATAATGAAACACACGAAATACATAGCTACTTCCCTACATTATCCACCCAATAAGTAATTTATATAATTATGTATTATAATAGATCAAGTAATCTCAATTATCTACAAAGCGTTGGAAAGAAATGATAAAATTCCGGTAACTAGCGTTTACTTTCCGCCATATTTGATTATCTGGGTTTAAATTAATCCATTTCTAACAACGATAACTTCTTCAAATAGCATCTGAACTTGTCGATAATAGTTAGTCGACATCTGGAAATATGTGATTATCATAATTTATCAGTATCTTTAAGTATCCAACAGATCGGGCTGGAGTGGTATTTCCGACTCCGTGAACCAGAATTATAAAATCCTGTTATGTACGCAGAACCTATGAAAAAGAAAAACACATGAATTCGGCTTCCATCCACGATTCTCATTCCACTCCAATCACCTTCCTGTTTCTTCCTAGTCCTTGTGGAGAATCCGTAGAACACCAATACTGGGTGTAATCCGTTTGCTATTCTGGAGCAGTCCGGAGCTAGGGACAAACGCGGGACAGGCATTCCATGAATGTAAATGTGTCCGCTTGGCTTTTCTGCAGACAGTCCCGAACTCCCACCTGCCTTCTTCGTCTTCCCCTGCATTCCCTTCTGCTCTCTGAGGAACTCGATACGACCCAACCCAACAGCGTACTGTGTCTCCTGACATTGACACTGACAACATCGCTCCTTTCCGCTAAGGGCTATGCGGAAGCCCTGATCTGTCCACTCGTGCGTGAGCTGTTGCACAAGCAGGCATGGTCCTAAGACCCTATGACAAGGGTAGAGACTATATCCCCTGGTTCGTGTAGTCAAGCAACTTGCGTAATCTACCAGCTAAAAGTTCACTGCAGATTCCCTTGCGTCAGTCCGTATCTGAGATGAGATTTGAGGTTCTGATGGCGACGCGCATGAAGATGGCTGTCTTCTGCGTTGTTGCGCTGCACAGTCTGGTAGAAGTTTACCGACATTTAGGAGATGATTGCTGTCTCTATCAATCGGACGCTGGTGACGGAGGTGGGATGTTAATCCGAAACGTTGATATCAGCCTACAGTTCCACGCGGCGTTAAATCCCACATCACCACAACATCCTGTTTCAAGTGAGCAAGATATTTCTGCAGAAAATCCTGTACAAGGAACCCAACTTCTCGTGTTTCAGGTGTCGTGGATTCGCAAGCGAGACGCGCATATTCTCACAGTGGACCGCTACACGTTCATCGCCGACGACCGGTTCCAGGCGTTCCTGGTAGAGGCAACGGATACGTGGACGTTGCAGATAAAGTACGTGCAGGCGCGCGACGCAGGGCAATATGAGTGTCAGGTCAGCACAGAACCGAAGATGAGTCACTTCATCACGCTCAATATCGTCGGTAAGTTCTACTCGGCAGAATGTGTCTACAGATTAATGCAAAACTCAGCACACACACGAGTTAAAAACGCATATAAAATGGATTTGAGACTTTCGCGGCGAGTACAATCAATAAAATCTTCTCGGTCAATCAGTAAACCGACGTTTCGGGAACAAACTTGTTACAAAAGCGACTTCCGAGGATCTAGTCACATCAGAACCCTGAATATGGGGACAGTTTGTTCCCGAAACGTCGGTTTACTACGGTAACCAGCTAACGCGGCTGATTTCCCGAGAAGATTTTATTGCATATAAAATTGTTTCGATTATAGCGCTCACAGTGACGATAATGTTAATTGTCTCGCGTCTCCTGGCGTTAAAATATATTTATTCCTCGGGATAGTACGACAAAATATATTGTATTCGATGGATTACAACTGTGTCCTGAATTTTGCATGTCTGTGGACTAACTATACATGTAATTCTCAGTAACCGGTTTAACGAAAACTGTTTTGTGATCTGTGAAAGATGCGTTTTGACGTGAATAAGTTATAGAACATTAAAGATCAGGGCGATGTGTGTCTGATGAATTGTAAATGGACCTTGTGGCAGTTTGCTGGAAGCTACACGCCCATCAGGAAAACTACGATCAACTGTCAGGATATCCTGGTCACGGTGGAGATTCGTAACTGCTAATCACAGCAGCACTGCCATTGGTCAACTAGAGACTTTTAATATTGTTCAGTTATTAGTGAAAGAAACTCTTTGAAATTCAGTGGAAATAATTTATGTATTTTCATCCCTTATCCCATCTGTTCCTGTCCTTAATCTTTTTCCTCATTACGTCTCCTTCCCTCGTGTCTCTTCTTTTCGTTTCCTATCCGTGTTATTTTAACGTGTTCGTCACCCATATTACAATTTTTTTTTCAAAATATACCTAATGGCACTGGGATTTAAAAAATTGAACATCGTGGTATCTAGCGTCATTACGTAGTGCTTATAAACGTCTAGTAGCGCTTAAATCACGAACAAAATCATAAAAGGAATCCAATTAAGAGTATATCTAGTAGATCAATATACTTCCTTCATTTATTAAGATTTGATACCGTGGTCTGTATTCTCCGAAGTCCGTACGGCACTTGTCTTGAGTGTGATTATAAGATTAAAACACCAAAAATATACATAACATTTATAGAACGCAAAATACTATTAAGACCATTTTACAAAACGTTGTATTTGTTTTAATTACAATACGTCGACAAATTTTAGGAAAACTTCCCAGTATCGAATTCAATGAAAATCCGTTTGGCCTTTCTTCAGTTTTTACTTACGAAAGGACAGACATGGCAAAGATAATATTCGCATTTTTTGGACATTAATTTGTGAACACGCACAGGCCACAAGTAATAATCGTAAAATGTGACAAGAAATTTGTTTTGTATTTTCCTTTGTAAACTGTCGGCCTGTTTGATTCATCTGTCCAAGTCTGAAAACCAGTTTCCGGAGTAATATTCTGACTTGTTTAAAATAACGTTCCCGGGTCAAATATTTGTAGGCCTTTTTCCCGCGTACGTGATATAAACGAAGTATCACCCCCCCGTAATTCAAAAATTAATTGCTATCTGCTACTAACTAAAACTAGGTTTTGCATTGCTTTGACCACCCAGCGTGCTGATATTTTGGCGCTGTGGGTTGTGGTAAATGGTAATATAAAACACAGGCTGTGTATTAAAATATAGCTTGAAATCTCAGCTCTTAAAACTGGTGACACTAACCAGTGTTAGGGGACTTTAGTGCTATTAAACATGATCCTGTACTTTTGATGAATGTAAGTACATTAGGACCAAATTCAAAAGCATATATTAATTTATTATTTTGTTGTTTTTAAATAAGTCTTTCACAATTTAGACCCGCATTCAGAAATTACTTTTTTTAACTATTCACGTATTGCAATGGACGTTATCTTGTAACTCTTCTAGTTTTAATTAATTAAAATTGTGACTTAAGGTGCTTTGCCTGCCTTATCCTTAAAGAATTTAGGTCCTCACTCTACCACATAAAATATACTGGAGATGGAATCATGGGCGTGGTTGAAGTTGGAGAAGGGAGGTCGATATATTGATATTAAGAAGCACAGGTAACAGATTAATCGGTTTTCTTAGTGGGAAGCTGTTCCCCTTTGAAATTCATACAAGTTTTGCGGACTCCAGTACGTTTGTAAATTTTGTACGTTGTTAATATTCGCGTTTTAACTTGTGAAACTTCGAAATTCAGAAGAAACATAGAGCTTCCCTGATCAAAATGTGGCTCCACTCGAACTGTGCGTAATCCGTCCGAAGTTCATAAACTGACTGCCTCTGCATCGCGTCTCGAACGAGACAAAGGAAAATCAAAGTATTTTTCCCTGCATCTAAACAACTGTAATTTCTATAAAGTAATTCCCTTGAGTAATGTTTTGCATAGTCGGTAAACCAAAGATTGACACTTACATAGGATTTATACTGGATAAAAATTAATTCTTAACATTGTGTCGTTGTGAAGTCGAACGATGTTTTTGGCACATGCAGAAACCTTTCCTCTCACACTCCACGTAACGCCATAATCCAGGGTTCTCTCAGATTTCTTCCCGCAAAATCTCCCTTCGTTGACACATGACGTGAAGTCTGACGAACGATTACAAGTTTAAGTAAGAACAGACTAAAGTTACGTAATTATTTCACCTTTTCCAGGAAACAATTTCTGCAACACATTACAAACGCCTTCATAATTTTCTTTCGGGTTGCCTTTCAAGTGGACTGAACTGAAACTCCCTGGACGGTTATAATAAGTGGATTGAGTTGGCTTACGTCACTCAATATTAGTCCCTATTGCCATGTTAAGGGTTTCCTTGGGTGTACAGAACTTTGCTTCCTGAAGTTGGATGGAGAAACCTCTTTCAAGATGTACACCGTCAATCCATGGCACCCACCAGCACTTGCAAATTGTTGCTACTCTATTTGTATGATTAGCTTCTCTCTAAATACCTCACTTTGCATTTTATCGAGGTTTGTACACCCTTTAAGAGGAATGAAGTGAATTACGGGACATTAAAAGACGTAGCAAATGATAAAATACGTTGTTTCTTTTCTCTCGTTCTCTCTCCCAGTTCTCCTCTGACATGCCTCTCGGCCATTTCCAGCTCGGCTGTGTCAGTTAGAACGTACCAGAGTCGATGAAGAATAATAATAATAGCTTAAATGTAAATTGTAGAAACAAACAACAGAGCTTTAAATATACTCACTGATGTCATTAGTTTATGCTTAAATTCTACTGTTGAAAGATATAACTTTCTTAATGTCAATTTAAAAATGTTGGGAGAGAATTGGGCAGATAAGACAGAGGACGAAAAGTTTTAAATTAGTTAGTTATCTAAATTTTGTAACATAACGAAAAGCTCTTAACGTCGGGCATACTTATGATATGGCGTCACTGCTACGTGGAATTTATCTCATCAAGTTCATTATCAGTCATACTTTTTACTTAAGTAACAAATCCATCACTTACAGAGGTAATCAAGAATATACGATTTATAGAATTTTTAACAAAGCTGATTATGGGTATGCCTACAGATATTACATTGTATAGTGAAAAACAATTTTCGTTCCACTTTTTCGTTCTACTTTTTGCCGAATGACACTGACCCTAAAATATAGACGTATTTACGTCAAAGAATATTTAACATTTTTTTGTATTTTTACCGTAAAATTGCATTATTTTATAAAAGTTATGAGGAAATAATGTGCTCCGAAGAGGTGGCGATAAAGATGTCTATACTTAAATAATATTGAGATATTATTTAATGTCAGTGAAGAGTCTTTTAGAATAGCTATTACATACGGAGACTCCCTGTGATATAAATATCGTCGAAATCCGTCGGGTAGTGATTGAGCTGAAATATCCATCCGTATTTCATGTAAATAACGCACGCCAAGATGTTCCATGTTCTGCTACGTGTCTCTTACGACTGTATCTTGTTTCGCATCTGATAAACAAAGTTGAACAGTGGTTGTTACGTAGACTAGTAATAATGCGTATTGTCTTGTGAAATTACTACTTCCAATCACACTTCCAAGACAGCTCAATTTGCTGACTGCGAAGCTGATTAGGAAGAGGCTGTCTCCACCTTCAGTCAGAAGGAGAAACTGCATTGTTACGAGGAGAGAAGCAATGAAGCGCTTTTGCATTGCTAATAAACGTATAGTAAATTGTTCGATGTTACACAAGGTAATTCTGAAGGAATAAAATCACAGAGTAACTAACTGTGAAACGTTGTAAGCAACGATTTGTATTTGGCACACACACTATAGATCGATGTCGCGCAATCGGTGTGTACCGCCACAAAAATTGTTTATAAAATATTGCGTATTCACACGTTGTAATCGTATTTATCGTAATTAGAATTCATTTCGCGCGCGCACACACCGGTTAATCGTCGATAATTTTATTCTTAATGTGTCTTCTTTTTATTTAGAAGAATAAACATTTATGTCCCTGCTTCGCTTCGTGTTCCGTTTTCGTGAGGCGAAATTTAGTTATTTGTCGTCATGACTTTGACAAATTATTTTGTGCCGAGGTTGAATAATGTTTGCGGAACTCTTGTATCGACTACTTAATGCCGAAACGTACTTTACGAGGCACCGACATCAGAACCCAGTACTTCTGAATAGGTGTTGGACGAGTTGCCGGAATGGATGGAGAAGTCACATAACTACCTGAGTTTTATACGGCAAACCAAACGTAGTTATCGTCCTGTCAGATGTAATTCTGAATATGGCTGTCTTCTGGGGTTTTGTGCCGTGTAGTCTGGTAGCATTTTACCGACGTTTTAGAAATTCGTGCTGCTATGATGATTCATCGTCCTGATGATGGAGGCAGCAATCGCATCTAAAGCATTCTACTAGACTACACGGCTTTTCCGAGATCCTAAAAGTGTGCCAAGTATAATTCAGCCTGGCTTTGGCGCCATTTATGTGGCCTTCTTAAATTACTGCATCTTCCCTACGTGGGTGTGATTGTAATCTGTTTTCGTATTGCAGTTAGTGAATTCTGAAAGCTTATGAATAATTTTCGTGCAAATGGGCCAGTATGGAGAAGGTCATTGAACCTACTGTAATTGCTTAAAGACTCATCATCAAGGCTGTAGCTTGTGGCGCCTCTCTCTCTCTCTCTCTCTCTCTCTCTCTCTCTCTGGGTACCGTGAAAATAACTTCTTGTATGACCGAAGTGGAATCAGATGTTTCATATAGAACGTGTCGTACCTAGGTTACATTGTCACGTGTTATACGTACGTACACATAAATAAAAATAATCTTTGAATATAAATTATTTTGTTTCACATTTTAATTTGTATGCTAAATATATTATACTATTTATATATCACAGACACACTAGTATAACACGCATTATATTTCAGGAGAAACTGTTCCTCTGTACACATCAGTTTTATATTGGAAATGTATCACCGAATATACATAGAAATGCAATAAAAATTGTAACTATAGGAGCAAAAGAATGAATATTTATGTTATATTATCGAAGTACATGGAGTGGATTATAATGTGGCACCCGACAGCCTGCTATTTTTCAACCCTTTCATGATAATATAGATAAAATGTGTTATAACACGGGACAGCTTCCTCTGCGTCTCTGCATAACCACTGCTTTTAGTAATTCTCTCCTTCCTTTGACACAGCATAATCGTTAAATCTTTTGTTTCTTCAATCATTTTAATGTACCTCAAATGAGATGACGTAGAACAAGAACAGTGAAATGGGAATTATATTTTGTGAAGGCGTTGACGTGACGCAGATCAGAACACGCAGATAATACTCAGAAAAGTAGTTAATTAGACAGGCTCTGAACCAAGCAATAACAAATCGGAGTATTTATCGGGTTAACAAATTCGTAACGTGTTATTCGCATTTGGGAGTTACCTGGATCTGCTAGAGATCAGCTTCTGTGTCGTGATTTTATTCAGTCCTGACAAATGACAGAATGCAGACTATGACCGTTCCTCACCAAGCCTCAGATATTCATAAGCCTTGCCCAAATTTATAACTTGTGTTGGGCAAGGCCGTGGTCTAGGCAACACGGAGTTTTCCTCCGTGGCATCCCAACAATTACTCCATTCACACACAGAAGAAGGCAATGGCAAACCACTTCTGGATCATCTGCCAAGAACGTATATGAACAGGTCCCAGTCCGAGAAAAGGATGGAAGGATCCTGTTCATATGGACCTGTCGTCAGACAGAACACTAAATAAATAAATAAATAGTAAATAAGAATGTTAAATCGATTCACTCACCTCTGAGCTTACTTGCTCGGTGAGTCGCTGTGTTAGTACCGTTTCGTCTCCCAGCAAAGAGGATGAACAGAAGAGCTTGTAGAATTTGGTTGTGGTGTCCAGCCACGAAACGGAATATTTCACTGTTAAGTAACGCGAAAATAATTAACAGTAATGCAAATTGTTTAAAACAGTTCGTTTACAGAGTTTAAGGCAATCCAGGCTGGGGAATTTCCAGTTTACAAAGCTTGATGGTTGTGTCAGAAAGGGACGAATTCTAGGGAGAGGTGTTGATGGGAAGGAAGATGTTGAATACCAAGGGACCACGGGAAGAAAATGTCGATAAAGCTCTTGTCAGACAGAACCCGCCATTTCACACTAAAAAACAAAATGGAATGAGGAAGGGAGAGACAGATAAAAATAAAGATGGAGAGGATTGTAAGAGAACTTGACTCTACTCAAGTTCCACTGAGACTCTTCATTGCCAGCGTCCCTATATGCTATGGTGTCGCTTTTCATTAGTAGTGGCGTCTACTCCAGTAATTAGGACTATAATCACACAAAGCGCAGCCCTCCTTCCTCGGCAAATGTGATGCGAAGCTGCGTGTCCCATGACTATGTACACGCTTGTATATTGTTATGTTTGTATAGGCTGATGCTTAGTTTGGTCGATATAGCTTTGTTTTGTAATTAAACTAATTACTGTGAAAGATGAAGATTCGTGTGTTGTAATTAAATATGGAGTCTATATGTACAGTGTAAACAAACCTTCATTAAGTTATACGTGTTATCTCGAGACGCAAACTCGGTAGAGCCTTTCGAATCTCGTAGCGGCGTTGCTTTCTTACGTTTTCGTCAGAGACTCTGTAATTTAATGTCTTTATCTTTACTGAAGATGAAGGCATTATAGT